CAGCAAGTGTCCTCTCTCCTGCAGCATCAGCTCTTGCTTCTTCCCACAGGCACACAAACATGCGATTCTCCCACCCGCCTCTCTCTCCTCGACTCCAGGGCCCCCTTCAGCAAAACTCCCTGAAGAAGCTGTCGAACGGTTCACTTCTCTAAACCTTCCCTGTCAGACTCAGATGCCACTGCATCAACTGTCTTACTGACCCATCAGCACCTGGTTTCCAGGTCACTGTCCCCTCCCGGGCCTCCTGTCCTGCTGGCCGTTCCTGCCCAGTTTCCCTTGCTGGTTCTCCTCCTTGCTAAGCTGTGAGCTCTGCTGGCCCCGGGGCACCGTGCCTGCACGTGTCTCTCTTTCTGCTTGTTCACGCTGGCCACATTGAGTGCCGCCAATAAGCTGATGACTCTCCAGTGTATATCTCCAGTACACCCCTTTGCTGGGGCTCACTCTCTACTTGGCTGTATAACTCAAACGGTACAAAGGGAAGCCTGATCACTTCCCCCACCCCCCATCTGCTTCGCTGCAGCAGGACCCCCCGTGGCACAGCCCCAGGGATGCAAGGCCATCCTTCAGTGGCTCAGACCTGTCCCTTGGTGGGTATCCACCTTCTCTCTCACTCCTTACATTTAATCTGTCCCAAGTCCTATTCGTGGCTCTACCTTCAAAGTATATTCAGAACCCAATCACTTTTTGCCACTGCCACCACCTGGTCTAAGTCACGACCTCTCATCTTGATTATGGTAACAGTCTTCTCACTGGTCTCCGTTCTTCCACCCTCACTCCTACAACTGAGTCATGAAGCAGCAGCCAGAGAACCTTTAAAGAGCAGGATCAGATCGCACTCTGTTCAAATCCTCCAGGGGCCCCCACATCCCTCAGTGCAACAGCCAAAGCCCCGCCACGGCCCACAGGCCCCACCAGCTCTGCGTCCGCCTTGGCTCTCCAGCCTGCTGGTCTGCTCTGTGGTTACTTCGCTCCAGCCACACTGGTTCCCAGCACATATGCGCCACAAGGACCTTTCTACTTGCTGTTCCCTCTGCCTGGGATGTTCTTCCCTTGGGCATCTGCATGGTTCATTACTCATCTGTATCAAGACTGTTCATGTATTACCTTCACAGTGCGGCCTAGACTGACCGCCTGTTTCACACTTTAACCCGTCCACTTGCTCCTCCAGTTTCCCCTTTACTTACTTTTCTTCCACAACAATTACCACCATCAAAGCTACTATGTAACTCACTCATTTATTATGTTTACTGTTTGTCTTCCCCTCTAGAAGGTAAGTTCCTTGTTTGTCCCCTGCAACAGCCCCACGGCCCAGAGCAGGAGCACATGGTTAGCCCTTAATGTGCACTGGCTGACCAGCTGCGTGGATCCCGCCCGGTAGGGAGGCGCAACTGGCTGGGCACCATCAGCGAGAGCCTGGCAGGGCCTCCCAGCCTCTGCCGTGGCCGCCACCCGACGATGTCTGCGAGGCCTCATAGGCCCTCCAGGCCAGGCCCCGGCATTGGGGCTGCATGTTTGCCAGCACAGCCCCAGGGCAGGCCTGCGCCTTGCGAATGAGTGCGTGCCTTATGGAGGGATTGGGGGGCACTCTCGCCCCAGCTGGGACACTGGCACCCAAGCATGGCTCCAGGTGCTCTCCGCTACACCTGAGTCCTTCCAGCTGTTAGAACAAGCCTCGCCTAGAGCTGTCACCCTCCAGACTGGCTTTGTTCTTGTCAACAGCATGGTCAGGCGCGCCCTTCCCTAGCACAGTGCTGGCTGTCCCTGTGACATGCCTGTGTCCCGTTTCAAGGCCACTCCCTGGAGTCCTGCCCTTTCCCGAGTAGCTGCTCAGATGCCCCCACAGCACCAATTAGAGGACCAGCCTAGGTCCTGGTTCTGCACCTGGTCTGTCTCCCCTCTGGGCTGTGAGTGACTTGAGGCCAGCGGACACCTAGCCTGGAGCGCATCCCTGGCACAGAGCAGTTCTCAGCGATTACCTGCTGACTGGATCGGTGACGGCGCTCCTTCGCTCTGACCTCTGCACTATTGATATCTGAGCCAGGTCATTCTTCGTGGGTGTCAGGTAGACTGTTCTATGCATTGAGGATGTTTATGAGTGTTCTGGCCACTCTCGAGATGCCAGTAGCAACCCTGCCCACTTGTGACAGCCAAAAATATCTCCAGACATTGCCAAATGTCCTGAGGACAAAGTCAGCCCTAGCTGAGAACCAAGGTCCCAGAGGATTTAGTCTCCTCACACATGGGAGGCTCCTGGGTTTGGCTGTAAAGGGACAGGGTTCAGCCCTGACAGATGCTTAAACTAGATGGGTCTCTAAGAGGCAACCACCTCTGTGGAAGGCACAGCCTCCTCTCCACAAGGGTGAGGAGCAGGTTGGGGCCTTCCTTCCTGTCTGTGACTGAGTCCAAGCATGGCAGCCTCAGCCACCCAAGGAACCTGACACTTGAGTTTTCAGCAGGGGGCTGAAGAGAGAGCTGCTGAGCGTGGAGGACCGTGCTGCCTGAGCCGTGTGCCCAGTGGTGCGTCACAGGCAGCGCCGACGTGGTGTGAGCCGGCAGCTGCTGGGGCTCTGGCTAATCTGCTGGAGCGCCTGGTCCTGTGCAGGCACCTCCTACTCTGGCACAAGGTGGAAACAACTCTGAATGGAGGCAGCTGCTCCAGCAACCAAATTTGATGAAATATCACCCTTGTTGACAGGTACAACAAATGCGTACTGAGTGCTGGCTGTGGGCTTAGACGCCATTCTGAGCAGCTTATAGATATTATCACTTAGTCCTCTCAGCAGCCCTGTGAGTTCAGCACTATTATATTCCCTTTTGAGAGATGGAAAAAACAAACAAACAGACAAACAAAACCTCAAACAAGTTAAATTCATTCATTCTTTCAGAAAACATTTCCTGAGCATCGACTAAGACTTGCCCAAGGTCACTAGCTGGTAAGACAAGATGCTGGGACTCCAACTCCAATGCCGCTTGACCACAAGGAAGGGCCCCATGCCTCCCTGTAAAGGGAGTGGGGTGGGTCCTCCAGCCTAAGTCCCTGGAGCTCCACACCCCCACCTGGGATGGAGCGGCTCTGCTTTACCTTCTCACAATGTTGCTTGAAAAAACAAAAACAAAAACAAAGAGGCCCTTCCTACTGACACTCTGAGAGTCCAAGCTTCTTGGAAGAGGCAGAAACTTCTGATGCCTGCCCAAGGCTGGGCATGGGCTGTACCTCCCACTTCCCTTGACACAGCTCACCCCACGCTGGATGGGCCAGACTTACATCAAGATCCTGAAGACCAGCGCCTACCTGCCTGCCCCAATATCACAATCCGAATTTTCAGATTGGCTACCAACATCCCCACCACCCTTCAGGAAACAATGCTGTGCTGAAGCAGAGACCAGCAAGCTGTGTGCCTCCCAGAGCTGCCACGCAAGAGCTGTGGAGGAAGAAGCAACCCTGCCCCAAGACAGCTGCGCGGAGGCCCTTTTAAACGCAGCAGACAGGATCATGGCAGACGACTCACTCGCTCACTCACTCCAATAATTATATCTCGTTGCTGTGCCCTGCACATCTGCAGTAATGTTTCCTCAGGGGATCAAATAAGGCACATCATTTCGCTCAGACCCACTTAACTATAGGGCAAGGAGAAAGGCCATGCGCGGGGAGGCCGAGCTCTCTGCCTCAGGTGTGGGCATCGCCCACTTGCAGTCACAACACGAAATCTTGCTTCCTTTGCTGCCTCTGGAACTGGCAGTTTGCAGAAACAGAGTCAGGCTTGCAAAACCATGGGCAACTGCTGTTTTGCTTAATTAAATATCACTTTAAAAGTGCTTAGGGAGATTTTTCTGGGTAAAAGGACTTTGTGCTAAGTGGGTTTTTTTTTTTTTACACTTTATATTCTAATTTAGTTAGTAGATCTTTAAAAAGTGGGAGCATACCTAAACTAGCAAACAGAAAAGTAGCAGAATGTGAGCTGAGTTAGACTTTAGTTTGTCAAACTGATAGAGCTCTAGTGGTTTTATGCTAATTTCTCTCATGTTGGTCGCGGCGGGGCAGAAATTTGGAGGCAGCTTTAGACATAGCCATGTCCTTGAGTGACCCAACGAGACTTGGGGCTGCCAGGCTGGGGGCACCTGGCACCAACGGGAGACTGTCCCAGGCTCTGGGATCTCCCGCTGGAGGGAGGTTCGAGTCCAGCTTAACTCCTATTTCCGTGAGGAGCTTCACATTCTGAAAACTACAAATTAATGCACAAGGAACGAACACTTCCCAGTCACACATCAGTAAGGATGGCGATTCTTTTCCAACCCTGTGGCTCTCAAGATAAGAAACATCTGTCACAAGCATGTGGACCACCGACGGGCCAACTCTTAGAGCTCTCCGACCTCCAGCCCCGGGCACTGGCTGGAGGGGCCTCTTCTCAGGAGCCAGATCATTCCAGAAACCCACACGACACCGTTCCCTCCTTCCTGAGTGCGAACTCACTTGCCTGCATTAACAGATGGCCTCAGCTGGTCCTTCTTGACATCAGGAGCCAGGGACAAAGCGAGAGACCCTCGCCGAGCAGGCCGAGGCCAGGTAGAGGTAACGGGCCGTGGCCCTGGGCATGCAAGCCCATTTATTGCGCCGCCACCATCGTCCCAGTGCCATTCCCAGTGCTGCCGGCCACCATTCCACAGATGATGAAGTGGATGCCAGGAGGGTCAGTGCCTCAAGGGTACCCAAACAGTAAGGGTGACAACAGTGAGCAGGGTCAAAGGCCCTTATGGAGTAGGTACTGCGTGTCTGAAAGGACAACTGGACAGCGGGGCCTGCTGGTGCCCAGGTTCCCATGCATCCTACCCAGGCCCTGGTCTCTGCTGACACCTGCCAGGACGCCACACACCACTGGAAGCACGGGAAGGTGGAGGAACGGCTGCCTCGGAATGGCAATTCTCGAGGTGCCTTTCGACCCAGAATAACAGTGTTTGCTGCTTCTCAGGCCAGAGCATTTTAAATAAAAACGACCCACACATTCTTGTGTTTGTATAAAAGATATTTACTTCAATTATCACACCTAGGGTGCTAGTGAATAATAATAATACATGGTGTGAGTTTCATACAGTGATATTGCTTCTCCATATCATATAGGGACCGTTGTACAGTGCTGAGAACAAACATCGTATGGCTAACCAAAGACAGAAGGGACAACACCGAGGGGCCGACGGGCGCCTCCCCACCCCCATGCCAGCCGGATCAACTCCTGACTCTTAATGTTGAAAACAAATAGCAAGAAATAAAAATGTTACTAGAGATGGTCACAGCAACACAGCAGAGGCTTCTCAAAGCTATTTGTACAAACAAAAAAAAAGATGCCTTTTTTTTTTTTTTGGTCAATTGGGACTCTGTGAGGATTAAAAAAAAAAAGTCTGTGATTGTGAGTATTAACAAATGAGCTCTAAAACATCTAAGACTTAGTGCGTTACAGAAAATATAAAATACTGCTAAAATATAAGACACCACGATACACTGGGGGGAGCTGAGCTTATTAAGAATTCTCCGGAAGAAGTCCGCCACTCCGTGAGCGCTTGGCTTGTGCTGCGTTAGTAGTCTGGACAGGAGCGTGGCTACCCGCTCGCAGGCAAGTAGTTATTGCACAATCGCAAAGAACTAGGTCTTACTCAGTGGAAAGGGACGTGGGAAAACCACCTTTTCTTTTCCCACTTTTATAACAAGCTATTCTCAAATGCTTTAAGAATTTTGAACGAATCCTCACATCTCCAAAATGCACAGCATTTTCTGAGGGGGTCTTAGATGGTGGGACATGAGATGCCCGTTTTCTCAAGGAAAGAGGCAGAAAACGGCTCGAGAGAGAGAAATGCATAGACGAATTAGGGAGAAATGCAAACCCTTTTGGGGGAATGAGGGCAGTTATTTCATTGGAGGGCATTCTTCCAAAAAGATGAGAACAAAGTCAGGACCTCCAATGATTTCAGAGATGGGGAAAAGTCACGGCATGAAAAGTGAGTCAGGGTCGGTGGGCCCTTTGGGAGCAGAGGCACAGGCCTGGCTCCACCTGGGGCGGGGGCGGGGCCCCTGGCTCGCCCCGGGAGCTTCCTTCTCTTGTGCCCATGAGGGTGAGCCCATAGGCCCCAGACCAGCCCCACTTCACCCTCACAGCCCAGTACAAGCAACTGGGTGTCTTGCTGGCTGTGCTTCTTAGCCTCAGAGAGCTCTGCCCACATCTAACCTCTCCACATTTAACCACGTTAAGGGGGAGAGGGGCTCCTCGCCCCCTGACCTCCTTGGTGTGGGTCCTCAAGCCACAGCCGAACGAAGAAACACTGTTGCTTTAAAAGATGGTTTTGACCAAATTTGTATGCAAGAAAAACAACAACAACAACAACAACAACAACAAAAGCCAACTAAAACACGTCAACCCATGTGAGCCTTGCAAGAAACCACTCTCACTCAGAAGTCATAGCCTTGGCCGGGCCGCCGCACCCTCTGACCAGGGCTCACGGAAACGTCATGAACCCAGAAGTCTTACAGAGGCTCTAGGAGGCTTTGGGGAACTGAATTTTGCTTTTCTAAGTCTCCTCTGCAGCTTCTCACACGAGTGTTCTACTACTCGGCATTCCTCACACTGGTAGATTTTTGTTCATCAACTCATTTAAAAAGTTAGACATGTGGAGACCACCAGTTTTTGAGTGGCTACTCTGGAGACAGATGTTTGATTCTGCTGGAGAAGCCCCCTGTCAGATCCCCAGACCCTTCGCTTCTTTTTCAGGGGGTGGGATGGGGAGGGCAGGAGGCAGAAGACAGTAACCACTGGAGTGATAGCAAAAAGCATTTATAACAACAACAACAACAACAACAACAACACAAAAAACAATATACTCCTGATAAGTACTTAAATGATTAACCTAATAATAAATAGAAGAGGATAGAAATAATTTTTTTTCTCAAGGAAACATCCTTTTATAATTATCCTCATGCACGCTGGCAGGTCAGTAGCAGTCAATCCATCTCAACAAGAAAAGGTTAAGTGCTGGAAGGGATGGCTGTGGTCTCACACTGGAGAGGCTCTCAGCTGCTGAGTCACAAACACCCCCGCCCCCATCCACCCAGCGGTTCTGGCCAAGCGCCCCACAGGCCTAGCTCAGTGGTCAGCAAGAGGCAGGCTGGGGGCGAGGGCTGGGGAAGCCTGTTTTCCCTTCAGTTCATGAACACACGGAACTACAGTGAACATACTCATCCACAACCTGAATCGTCCTGGTCTAAAGCTTACTTTGAGTTCATTTGGTGTGCAATACATTATCTCTTAAAAATGAAGAAAAATGATTTCTATTGCACAGAGCTTTTACACATAGTCATCTATTTAAGTGCTTTCTGTTTAAAGCAAACTACAAAAGAAAAAAGGAAAGTTAAAAATGAGAAAAAAAGAACTATAAAACAAAGGCAGCCCCGTGCCACTTCAATCTGTCTTGCTGATGGGAGTCTGAGTTCACCAGCGGAAGTCCCAATGCTTCGTACACGCTGTGCTTCTGATTATTTTCCATAGGGATGTAGCCGTGACATTGGGATATAAGGCACCTTTCCTTTCTGATCACAGAAAGCTTGATACATAGCAAATAGCATATTCTGTGGTAAAAATTAAAGCCTAAACACTACAAAAATTACAGTAACAGACTATATTTCTTAACAGTATTGGATAAACTAAGATGATCACGAGAAGCAACTCAGTGGTATTTTAACTTTAATAACAGGGGGATTTGGGGAAGTGCACATTTATGCATAGCCTAATGTCTTTCTCTCACTAGCCTGTTTTTAGGATTCTTTGTCTACAATGCCCAACTTTTGAAGTTAGCATTTTGGAGGAGACTAGGCGCTTTGGAAATGTCTTGTTAAAGCTAAATGTCACTTCATCCAAAAATGAAAATGGAGGTGATGCCACTGCCAGTGTATCTTTGGAGGGGAGGAGGGGTGGAGAGGCAGTAGCCAGGCCTGGGTGGGTGGGGGCAGTTCTCGCAAGTGGGACTGATGAGGGGGAGTAGCATTTCCGTCTTCCTTTCTGACCAGGCCTGAGGCTCGCAGGCAGCTGGGGCTGCTGGGGCAGAAAGGTTCTGGGGTGGGGCCCATTTTTGTTCAGCTGGCTGCTCCCCATGCCCTGTCCTCTGCTGCCCTGATTCACACAGAAGGAAATGGAAATGATATTGTCAAATCAGACCATTCTCTTAGCAAGCAAGCATGCTGGCCAGCCTCATATTCGATGCACAAGCAAGTGGAACTGTATCACGTTAGAGTCCCAGGCTATCACCCTGCTGCTCAGGGTGGGCGCTCTGCCTTGTGGGTCACAAAGGCTCCCTTGATGCCACCTAGGCCCAAATGAAACCACAGAAGCAGTTTGGGCAGTTCTGCACGTGAGCTTTTCCCGGTAAGTGCCCAAGTACACGAGAATGGCACAGATCTTAGGCTCCCATCTCCAAATTCTTCCCATCAGGAGAACACTTTGGCCAACAGCGTGGAGGGACCCACATCCAACCAGCAGCCCTGGGAGCTGGTTTTCATTAGCACTGGGTGGAAACTGGCATATTCTTTGGGGAAGAAAGGGCCATGTGACTGAAGGTTGGGTGAGTGGGCCGGAGAATGCCATATCTGCTCCTGTCTTTGAGATACTTCCAAAGGAGTGTCATAGCAGAGCTGAAGTCATAACCTCCCAGTGCCAGGGACAATAAAGAGTTCCCTCACACCAGGTAGGAGCCCTAGGGAAGTGTCCTCATGTGGCATTTAGGGGCAGCCCAGGGCAAGGAAAATGACAGTGACGGATCTTAACAGCTGAGCAGGAATGGGCAGAAAGCAAAGGCAGGCCAAAGACAAGGCCCTTTGAGGCCTGAGACGGCCGCTGCCTGCCAAGGAAACAGCTGACAGATCTTCAAGAACAGGTGGAAGTCAAGAGAAAAACCCGCGTGCCTCACAGAGCACAGCTGTCTGTCCATGTCGTGCTCTTAAGAGAGGATGCCCGTCCACCAGGCCAAGATCATGGATGCCACCCTCGTAGCTTTTTTTCTCCCTGCAGCCCACTTGCTACATGGTTCTGAGGGGTGTGGGGTGAGGAGTGACGTCAAATGGCAGCGTGGGTTAGTGAGGTAGACGGGGACAAATGAGGATTGTGACAATAACGGAGAACATCCGGGGAGGGAACCAAACCTCCAGCCCGAAGGGACATGGCTAACAACCCACCACATGTGCCAGAACCTTGCCTTGCGACATCTCCCCCGCACAGCTGGCTCACTGGCCTCCAAGAGTAGTGGCCTGGGATAGCTACGAGCAGCAGACTCTTGTTTTTATAAGCCTGTTGAGAGGCGCCTGTCATAGTGCATTTAAGGCAACACTATTGCCCCCCAGCTCCAGATCTAGCAAGTCACTATCACCATTTACTTTGCGCAATCCCAGGATGTGCGTATACCCGCCCTGGTTCCTCTGCTATTTTCAGTGAGGTTTGTTTCTTTAAAATCAGGGGAATGTAAAACAATGCATAGAATGTCAGTTGAGTTCACTGATTACACCTGCATGAAAGGACATGCGTTGAGGAGGAACAGAGAAACCCAGTCCAGCTTCAGTTGGGAAGGCACCCTCCTGCGGCCGGGGCTGTCTGGTGACTCTGACTCCAGTCTCTTAGGGCATGACTGCTGTGTGATCTTAGGGAAGTCAGCTGAGACAACCTGCCTTCTGCTTGGTTTGCTCATGAGCTGTGCAACTGATGTGCTCTGGCCAAGGAGGCAGATGGGGTGTTTCCCTCCTCCTGGAGCTCGCCAGCTGGACCCAGGGTGGGGAGGGCCCCTCATGCCAGAGAGCGCAGAGTGACCTCTAACACAAAGCTCCATGGCACTCTAGGCCTGGACCACCACACCACCAACCAGCAGACCTGAATGTCCACATCAGACAGCATGGTTTTAAAATAGGGAGAGAACAAAGATGCCAACAGGAAGGAAACCGGGCAGGGAGGCATTTGTACTTAGGAAGTACAGGGGGGCCATGAATGATTAGTTTTTTTGCCAATCACTTTCCCAGACACAGTGGCCAGGGTTTGAGAGTAGTCATACGAGTCAAGATCCTGGCATTCCCTGGAGACTTCTCCCAAGCCTGCATTGCATCTCAGGGCAGGCTGCTGACCATAAGCCACTGTGCATTGTGCTGTTCCTCAGGAAGGTTGGCTCTGAGAATAACTGAGTTGAACTAATGGCGGTGGGAATCTTTTCTAGAGAAGAGCAGTCTGGTGGACAGAAATCACTGACATCCTGACTGATCCGGAAGTTCAAGGGAGGAGGTCACTTGGGAGCCAGGCGGTGGAAGCGGGTGGGCACTGGACTAGGCCAGAACCCACAGGCCGCCCACCTCAGACACCGCAGGAGAGCGTGGGCAGGAACCAAGGGTCAAGAGGCTGCCTGTGAACACTGATTTTATGCTGAGCCTCCACTTAGCCAGCTAAGTAATGGCAAAAACCTTAAGTTATGAACACTGCCTCCAATTAACAAAAAGAAGCCATTTAAAATGGTATAATGGAGCTTGTAATTAAGTGTTAGTGTTTTATATGGAACCGTTTTCCCCAGGGGAGAGGTACAAATCAGCTTTTTAAACTGATGGAGCGTAAAGAGGAGGAGGTCGGCTGCCTGTGGGAACTACTGCTTGGAACGCCAGCCAGCTGAAGGTAAAACCCCACGGAGAGGACGCTGTTCAAGGCACTTGAATATTGCTTCTCAAGATGAAAGCTCAACCCTTAGACTCAAACTGAGGGGCTCAATGAGGAGGGGGATGCTTGCCCCCGCCAACAGGTTTGTGTTATTTAGTGGCAGCTCTTAGAAGTATTACAGACAGTGATAGCTTAAACACAAAAAAGAATAGGGTTGGGATGGCAATAAAAAAATAAATAGAGAAAAATACAAATACAGAACTGCAAGCAAAATTTAACCAACTGATTGTATCGAGCACCCAGATGTAAGTCTGGCAAAAGAGACAGAATGGAAATCAACAATAATCTAGTTAAAAAAAAAACAACAACAAACACCACAACAAAAATGACTAAATTGCTTGGAAGAGCCAAGGTGGCTGTTTTAGACTGTTACTATTTGGCCACTAGAATGAACAAATTTATAATTTTTCAATTTCCTCGCATTTAATACCTCCATAAATAACAGTCATGCCTTTAAAACTAAAACACTACCCTAATATTTCCTGTTAACTCCCTGCTTTTGATTCTGATGAAAATCAGATATTTAGTGATTCATCACACATGATGACAAATTTCCCTCGAGGTTTTTGTGGAGAGGACACCACAGTACTGTCAGGGGCTCTGCTACTCACTGTCCTAAGGGTCACTAATGCAAACTCGCTCTTCTTAATGCACCTGAATTGAGCCAGATGTTAATCTGTTTTCCCCTTAAGCTCCTCCGTTTTGAATTATCTTCTCGCTGAACCAGATTTGAAGTTCAGAGATGACCAACCATCAAAAGACAAACGGCCTGCCTCACAGCCTCCTAGAGCCTTCTGAAAACTTCTTATTCATGAAAAGGCATTGTCTTTAGTGTAGTGACTCTTAAATTTGTGAAAACTTGAACTAAGTGCTGCAGTTGCAGGTTAAAAGACTGTAAATGAAATATATAATTTCTAAAACATCATGCAAGAAATGTGGTTTCACATCTTACAGTCAAAGTCCTACAAGTTAATTAATACAAGCACACTGAGGTGTAATAGCGGGAGCATACCTCTAAACTTATAACTCCCTCCCACCCCCAAATCAAAAAGATAATATTAATTAAACTTAAGAAATAATGAATGCACCATTAAAATGTCATCCAAAGATGTTGACCTAAGACAAAGGTTTCAATGATACACAATACGGTCAAAAAGTTTTCAATCAGTAATATACAGTATGACAACTACATCTTGTAAATTATACCCAATACTGCCGGCAGTCTATCCCTCTAAAGAATATTTGCCCCTTTCATCCCTTCCTAACAATCAGATAATAAAATACAGCACCTATAAATAAGCAAAAAAAAAAAATATATATATACCGAAATCATCTATTGTTAGTTTAAAGATATGGCAATAAAGGAGTCTAAATTAGCAAACTTGTAGAAGCCATAACTGAACAGCTTATTGAAAAAAGGTGGCAGTAATGCACTCTATGTGTGCACAGGTACTTAAGAAAATACACAGACGTATAAAATTGCACACACGCACACACGCACACTCTCATCCACCTCTATTCTCACGCATATACACATAGACAACAGGAGGAATCAGAGACAAGTTAGACTTTTGATTTGTACTTAGACTGACCTAAAAGACTTAGTAAAAGACTGCATAAAAGAACGTTCCAAGAGACAATATGAATGAAGGGTGAATGGTCTGGTCTGGAAGTGAAGAGTATCAACATTTTGGTGTCAGTTTGGGCCATCTCTACGGGGGTGGGAGCAGAGCCCAGATTGCCACGTTCTCTCTTCTGCAGGGAAGGAAGCTTCCCACGACTTCAACAGTCATCAGTGCTTGTGGTGGGAAGAAAGGGAAAGAGAGTGCGCGGGAGCCCTGCCCAGGCCCAGGGAGCGGCGTCCCCTGGTGGGGCTCAGTCCATCAGGCGCCTGGGAGAGTGGTGTGAGGTGTGGTGCCTTCTGTGCCAAGGAAAGACTGCTGTCTATGAGGGGTGGGCCCCGTTTGGCCCCAGAACTGTCTGCTGTGACCTTAGTGGCCGACTCTTTCCTCCTTTCTTTAAATGCTCACACATGTGCAGACGCACTAACACAGACGTGGACACCATAAATTAAACAAAATGAACGGGTACATGCTACAGTTCTAACTTGTCTCCTAAACCTCCAAGATATGAGGTCTGATCAGCGTGCTCTGCGGTTAGAGGTTAAAAAGCAGATTATAAAATACCTAGATTCGGATCTTTTCTTTTTGTCCTGATTTGGCCTAGAATGGAGTGTATTAAACAGACCCTGGTCAGCAAAAGCCCAGAGTCAGTTAAAGCTATGGATCAATGTGCACTACATGTCAGGATTCTATTCACATACAAGAAAACACTACATCAGCTACCACAAAATCAGTTATTTTCCTGATGTGACTTTTCTTTTTGTTAAAAAATATGTGGAGTAAATGTGTTTTATTTTAATTCAAAGTTTCAAACGAGAAGATTCTTTACTTGAAAATATTTAGGAATCCAAACTAGTGTGTTTAGAGTCGGTTTGACTGTGCAATCTCTTAGTGGCAACTGAACAGCTACAAAAACTTTCTTTTTTAATTTTTCTGAAAAATCCCCCCCCCCTTTTTTTCCTGGTTTAAGAAGATAATAGTGTATTATCGCTCTGAAGCCATTAGATGGCAGATAAAAAGCCCCCTTTTAATATGTGGGTTTGATTTTTTTTTTTTTAAAGCCCACACGAAAGAGGAGGGCGCAAGGCAAAGCTGTAAGAGTTATTCCAGAACCTGTGGAAATCACTTAGGGCAATAAAAAAAACACTTCAGGGTACAAAAAAGCTCGACTACACATTTCCGTTTTCTTCCTTGAAAACACGACATAGATTGGGCTTAATGCTCCTTTGTTTTCTATATGCACCTTGGCCTATGGCGATTTTGCCCTGTGGCCCGCAGGGCAGTAAGTGCGCAACACGGTCCCGGGCCGTGGAGTCGGCGCCCGCCCCTCTGCCCGGCTCGGCCGGCTCGGCCAGACCCGGCCTGGCTCGGCCCGGCTCGACTCTGATCAGCCCGGCCCTGCTCAGCCTGGCGGGATGGGCGGGCGGCGCCTCTCAGAATTCCCATTCGATGGGCTCCTCCCGGCTGGCGGCCTTCTCCAGGCGGTGAATTATGCTGTTCAAGTTCGCGGCCTTCTTCTTCCTCAAGGGGTTGTCTCGCGAGTCTCTGGCGCCTGCCGCCTCGGGGAGGCCAAAGAGGCTCTGCAGAGAACTGGGCCTGCGGGCGGCCGCCGGCGCACTGGTGCTTGGCAAAGCGGAACTCCTGTCGGCGTCCCGGGCCCTGCAGGGGCCCTCCCCCGGCGGGGCGGCTGAGGTAGCGGCGTCCTCCCCGGCCGCAGGCGCGGCGGCGGCGGCGGCGGCGGGTTTTGGCACGGGCCTCGAGCCGTCCGCGGAGCCTTCGGGCGGCGGTGGGACCCGGGCTCTGCCCTCCTCGGCGTCGTCCGGGGCCGTGGTTCCCGAGGGCTGCGCCTCCGCCTTCTCCGACGGCCGCGGCGCCTCCTCCCGCTCCTCCAGGGCCGCCGCGACTGCCTCGGCAGGCCCTCCCTGAGACTTGGTGGCGGCCGCGGGGCCACCTGACTCCTCAGCGTCCGCGGCGCCCGGGCCCTCGGCGGCCTCCACGCCGTCACAGCTGTCGCCCTCGGAGCTGGGCGCCGGCCGGCTGCTTCGGGCCGATGGGGAGTCGCTGGCCCCGGCCTGGCCCTGGCTCCCGGCCTGAATCTCCTCAATGAACAGTTCTCTGCGGATCCGAGACCTAGGAGACACAAGCAGGGAGGGCACCGTGAGGTGGCCGCTGTGCACAGGTGGACACAGGCCCTTTCCCTTGGAGTCTGCAGGCCTCCTGCCACCCCTGTTCCAGCCTCTTCTCTCCTCCGCACTGATTCTCACACTCCCACCCTAGCCTAGCCGGGAGCCTCTGCCAAGCCCCCACTTTATGTTCTCCAAAGTCTGTGCCTGTGCCTGTCCCTTGGGTGGAATGCCAGTCCTCCATCCACTAGGATGGAGCATTGATGTTACTTGTCCAATGGCACCTCCATCCCCGTCCCGCCCCCACCTCTGAGCAGGCTATGAATGGCCAGGTCCTATCACTCTTTGCACATCCTTTGGCCAAGCATGGGGCTTCCTGGTATACAGTGTTAAATGCTGGCTGAATAATTGGAAATGCAGGATGAATAGTAACTGCTGCTTCCTCATCAGGACTCCATGAGAGAGAATCAATTATTAGACAGTGCTGAAGTGGGATTCCATCAAATTATGTTTCAACTAATTTCCTCCTCTGAAAGGAGAAGACCAGGGAAGGGTCACTTTTGATCAAGCAGAAAGCAGAACAAGCATGTGCTCCAACATATCAAGCATGTTTTAATCAAGCTGAGTGCAGCTGACAGTGGAAAATGTGTGCTCCAGTACTTTGTTGGGTCTGGAGGAAACAACTGGGGCCTTGGCAGTCCCTGTGTTGGAACCCTTGGAGACATCATGAAAGGGCTCCTATTAAGTCTTTTTGCACTGAAGTTTCTCTTCCCGTCATGCTGACAAGTACTAGCCTCAATCAGAAGTCTCTCTAGGTGTTTATTCCAAAGAGCTGAAAAAGCCAACCATTAGTGGAAAATCATCTTCAGGTAAATTAGCACCAAGTCTAGTGTCCTGCAGAGATCGGGCCTGCAGAAAGCCTTTGGATTAGGGATGCAGGAAAATATATTTTCAGAACATATAACTCAATAAAGGTAATGTTTTCTGAGACCTCACTATGTCAGGTCCTATGTTGGATGTGGGAAGTGTTGGAGCCAGGGAGAATCTAGCTGTAGCTTACTCCAGTATATCAGCTCTGGTGGCGGCGGCTATCTGCTACATGATTATTTGTTCCTTGTGTGGGGTGAGCTCGGAGACTCTTGTCCTGAAGATGTTTTCTGTGCCTGAGGTGCAGGCTGAGGTCCTGAACGCCCCTAGATGTTCCCAGGAGTAACAGAAGACTTTCCTCCTTCACTGGGGCTGCAGTGGGAGCCTGTGAAATAGTTTTTGTCAACAGGTTCCTAGGCACTATGCTGGGAGGGCAAACCTGCTCTTTACTGGTTTTAAAGCCCCTTGGCAGCTGAAAATAGCATTTGGGGTGAGCACACAATCCCATTCCAGCCTGGCTGGGGAAGTGGGAGGCTAGACTGGCGGCTCAGGGTTTGGTCCCAGCCAGGTCACAAGCCCACCAAATGCTAACTGAGTCTTGGGTAGACTGGCCCAGAACAGGGCACAGGCTTTTTAGAACCAGGCAAACCTGGGTTTGAAATCTGGCTTTGTCACTTACTACCCATGCAACTTGGATGGGTAGTAATTCCTTAACCTTTTTGAGCAAAATGTAGAGAACTGTATCTTCTCTGCTGAGATAAGATTAAATAAAATGTTATCATATAATATAGGACACAAACTAGACCAACCCCCCCCCCCAAAAAAAAACCTATTCTCACCATGCAGATGCCTTTTGAATGACAGAAATGCAAGTGCTAAGGCTGAGGTAGATGGGTTGAATTGGGGGAGGGAAGGAACAACTTTACGCCTGGGGCATGAGTTCCAGGCTGCCACCCTCACCAGCTCAATTAGCACGCATAACCTTTCTCTGTAAAATGGGGCTGGCAGCACTGTATGTGACTGCTGATCAGAGGATCTAATGAGATAACACACCTATAAGGCTCTTGGTTCAGTGTCTGGCAGATACAGGGTGGGACAAAAGTAGGTTTACAGTTGTCAGTACACAAAACACAATTTATTCTTTATTGTATTATTTTCCATGAACAACTGTAAACCTACTTTTGCCCCACTGTGTATTATGTGTTCAAAAGATATGAGACATCCTCCTTCTTAGCCTACAATTGTCTCTATGTCTATGAGGAATATTATCTCTTGGCCTAGAAAGACCAGGTCCCAGGACCAGATCTGGTTTTCAGACAAGTCATGCTCAGCCTCACAGGCTTTTAGGGCTCAAAGAGTTTCTACAGGGTGGACCTGCTCTTCCAGGAGACCAGCCGTTTTGTGGTATGTTGTTCTGGCATTCCTGGTCTCATTCCTAGGTAAATGGTCACTCTTAAGATACTTCTATTTCTTTAGGTAAAAGGTAAGAGGAAGTAAAGTTTTATTTTTTTGACAGGGGCAAGAACTGATCCAAGGATTATTGCCTGAGGGTTCCAGTAGGGCAGAAGAAAATAAAATCAATGCCTGCTGTTTAACTCCTGCAGAAAGAATGTAAGAAACTGCCTTCTTACTTAGAAATTAAACCCAATCTGTGACGTGCGCTGAGTACTACTGTGTGCCAGACCTTGTGTGAAGTTCTGTGGGTAAGTTGGCCAGAAAGAGGATTTGAGCCAAATTCTCTTTTATTTGATTCAAAAAGAGGACACACCTGGGAGCAAGGTCTCACCAGAGTGATGGCGCTCACTTCTTATCAGACTTATTTTCTGGCACATTAAATTGGCCTGTACTAAGCATTTAATGGAAGAGCTAAAGCCAGGAGACAGCACTTGCTCTGACTGAATTAATGCTTGGCACTTTACCTACTGGGTGACCTTAGGCAAATAATGTTTCAGTTTTTTGGGCTTTATGCTACTTCTGAATGACCTGGTACTCACTTTTTTTTCAAAAATAAAAGTTTATTTGAGCCCAAAAAAGATATACCTGGAAGCAAGATTTCAATAGACTAATAGTGCTGACTTCTTATCAGACCTATTTTGTGGCTTACAACATTCTTGTTCTTTTTTCAAGAACCTGCACATCTCATGATATGTTTCTAGGTCTCCGCAGCTGAAACTAATCTCTGCCCTTTGCTATCTCACAGCCCAGCCTGTTTTGTTGTGGAGTTATTTTTGAAAGAAAGCATTTATGAAACATCTACTCTAGATGCAGACCTGAGCTCATTTACTGAGTTTTGAGAGCCTATTGCTATTCTTCCTCTCTCCTCTCTATTTTTGTTAAAGGTGTGTAACTGATTTTGCTTCTCTACAATGACCCATTGACCACCATGTGATAGGCATTACCATGGTTGTCAGGAGGCCAACGAGATGAGTGACAGCAGCTGAGAAACTTGCAGAGTGTGTGCCCTGGATGGGAGGCAGTGGCTGACACTCACCCGAGGCCTGAAGGGGAATCTTGGGAAAAAGGTAGCCCCAGAAAGACCAGAGAAAATGGTTTTGGAGATGTTTTGTGTAATTGGTAGCACCTTTACCCAAATATTCAGAAATCTACAGCTTCATGCACTGCTGTTCAGAGTTATAATACTTGCATTAAAATGGACCTAACTTAAAGACTTGAAATTACATATTCAAATGCACTTTTGGGTCTAGAAAGTGAAAATGGGACGCCATAACATCTGGCAAGGAGAAGCTCCAGTGAACCTCAGCTCACATTTCCAGCCATTCTTCTCCATCTCACTTATTTACTACTGTTGAAGTTTCCTTCCATGTGGAGGGAGCTCCAGTATTATAACTGCTGGCCTCACTTTGCCTCTGTTTCTATCTGATTGGTAAATTAGGATGATTAAGCTGGTTGTGCTCAGCTCATGCACTTTCTTTGTCCTCATGGGAGCTAGTCCATACATGAGGAGGCAGCCTGGAGCCCCTGCTGCCACAATGGATACATTTGCCTGGATCTAGGGGTCAGGTAGCAGGTCTATTTGGCTCTCACACTAAGCTACATCTGTTAACTTAGCCTTTACCAGCAATAAAGGTGCTATATGGCTCCCATCTAATATTTAAACATTTTCCAATTTGTTCATAAACTGGGAGCTTTATTAGGTCCCTTGAGAAGCTTCAGCAGAACCTATCAGATAAGGCAGGGCCCAGTCAGAGACACAACTCCTCCCTCCAGCCCTTGACTGTGTATGATCTACTGCCTGCCACTTGTTTCAGGTAAGTAACTGTGAGGGTGCTACCCACACTAGCTACTTGTCACTTTGGTATAAGAGGAGTACCTACCCTAGTTTTATTGATCCCTAGAGGAAATGCAATTGAGGTGGCCCCTTACAAGAAATGAAACAAGCAGGAATTTCCATCAGGCCACTGGAAATTCTTGGTTTCTAGCAATAGGGAGTCTTGATTATAGCTATGATGAACAATTCATTAACTTTCAGTGAATTTAAATGATCTACTCCAAGCATGTCCCCTCGGTTTACTTTGCTCTACAAGGAGAGCACTCAGCCTTCCCCTACTCAAGTAAGTTATTCATCCCTTCTAAGTTTTATATTTTCATTTGTAGAATGATGATAATGCTATATGCATTATATAATCACGAGGATCTAGTGATACAGTGTTGGTTAAAACACTTAGCTCAGTGTCTGGAGGTCTAGTAGATGCTCAATAAATCTTCATTAACTCGGAACTTTCCCAAAAGAAAGTTTTACACTACTGAATTTATTTAATTACAAAACTAATCAAACTAATTTGGAAAACAACACAGTAAAAGACCCCGAGAAATCATAAAAAAAATTACTTAAGAAACGTTTACTGCTTTGGAACCATGAATGCCTATATTCTCCCTCATTAAGTGATATAAATTAGAGGAAAATACTTTTTTTTCTTATAATAGATGTGGATTGTCTAACTACATGACCCTGCCTCTTTGGAGTTAAGAAGGCCCATAGTACAACATAAAAAAATCCACCTAACTAACCAAACCACTGAGAACTAACCAAGTTCTTAGTCCCCAGTACGCCAGGGACACACAGAACATCATTCCTGTGGAGCATTAATGGCTACCCTCTACAGTGCAGATCAATGTTTTCTAAGGAGTGGAAGTGTGTTCTTTTGGAGCCATAATTTATTGCACTGAGAGCAGGGTTGTACCTGTAATTGTGGAACCAGTTGATGACAGTGCTGGTTTTCAAGTTGAGCTGGGTGGCAAGTTCTTCGATGGTTTTTGGTGACGGGTATGGCTTTTGCTGATATGCTCGTTTCAGAGCTTCTTTCTCTTCAGGAGCCAGCACCACACGAGGTTTCTTCAGCTGGTGCTGGGGCTGGGGGCTTGCGCCTTGGCTATAGTCGATGCCAACGGAGGGGGGCTCGCAGGGCTGACTATCGCTGACTGAGCTGTGTCGCCGCTTCATGTAGGCTGAGGAAGAAGGAGAAGTCAGACTGAGGGGCAGGTCCAGCTGTGAAATCTGCCCAAGCTCCTGACCCCCGCAGTACATGGTATACCACTGGATTGAGGACACAACCTTGTAGCATCAGGTTGTTCTGCCCTGCTCTTCCAAGAGCACCTCAAAACACTTGCACTAGAACCATTCTGAAACCCAACCACACTCATCGAGGACCAGTTCTGTTATGACGGGAGGTTCCCGGCCGTCCCTGCACAACTAACGGTTTAGTTGGCGGGGGGGCAGGGGGTGGGCACAGAGAAGTGTACAGATAGATGATTCTACTAGGGGGCACCAGGGGAAATTACTCAGGTCAGCCTGGGGAGGGGCCAGGGAAGGCTTCCTAGGAGAGATGATGTTTAAATGGAATCTTAAAGGACAAGGAGGGATGAATCAGAAAAAATAGGTGATGCGGTAGAAGATGGTGGGAGGCTGCTTCAGGAAGTTGGACTAGCATGGGCAAAGACACAGAGCCACCCCACAGCGCGGCCAACGCGTGTCGTGTGTGTGTGTGTGTGTGTGTGTGTGTGTGTGCATGAAAGGGGCAGTGGCGCAGGAGGAGCTGTGGGACGTAAGGCTGGAAAGATGGACAGAGCAAGGGCAGGACAAAAGTTCGGACTTTATCTTAAATGCAATGGAAAGAAACGAAAAGATTTTCATCAAGGGAATGATGTGATCACCTCTGTTTCTGAAAGGCTGATCTGGCTACAGTTTGGAGGGAGAAGGACTAGAAGAAAAAAATGATAAAGATCTGAAATAAGGCAGTAATGATGGGGCCGGGAGAAAAGCAGATGGCTTGTGGAGATGTTGAAGGGTAGAACTGCTGGGACTTGGTGGCTGATTCAATGAGGGACTAGAGAGAGGGGAGCTGAGGACGGCTCTCTGGTTTCAGGGGGATGAGTTGGGTGGTGGTGTCTTTGGGTTGGAAGGAAGAGATTAAAGGGACAAGATGATGGTTTGTCTTAGAAGTATGACGTTTGAGGGCCCTCTGGGTCCTCCACACTGAGCTGCTCTGTAAGCAGTTGGATAGGTAGCTATTTAACGCAGAAGAATAGTCTGGGCTAGAGAGAGGAATTTGGAACCTCTAGAATAGAAATGGTAGTTGAAGTCAATGGCATTGATGAGACAGAGAAGGACTGAGGATGAAAGCGTGGAAAACAGCCACATGCAGAGGATACTCCCAGGAAGCAGCCATGAAGGACACAGAGACGGGAGGGAAACCAGGAGATGATGGCGCAGTAGAGGGATGAGTGGAGAGAGATGGTCAACAGCATCAATGCTGCAGAAAGTAAAGTCTGACAAGGACCCCAGAATGTCCTTGGGGTAGTGATTCGGAAATAACCGAAGACCTTGGTGAACAGACATAGTGGCGTTGTGGGAGCAGAAGCCAGACTGCAGTAGGTCTAACAGGGAATGGGAGGTGAGGAAGTGAAGGTAGTGAGAATGAGTTGCTATTAAGGTGAGAAGCCCTGCCTTAAAATAAAAGAGACAGGATGGTTTCTAGAAGGGAAATCTAGAACTGAGGATGGGTCTTTATAAAAATGAGAGCAAACTGAGAAAGTTTCTAAGCCAAGGGACAGGACAAAGAAAGTGGGGGATCTGGCTGAGAAAGAAGGTGACCACTGGAGGTACACGAAGGTGGGTAGAGCTTCAGAAAAATTTATAGGAACTAGTGGGGGAAGTTGATGGCCTTTGTTTTCTTTATGAAGTAGGATGACACGAGAAAGGGTGATCTGGAGTGATGGGAAAGGAGTCTTGTGAGTGGAGGAGTCATGGGACATGGTGGTAGGGGATGGTGGAGAGGGGTGGCTAGGGGTGGGGACAGAAGCACAGAGGACCCCACACTGATGCTGGAGATACAAATCTGAGGTGGCACCAACCCATAAGGATATTCTCTGGCAGGTCCCAGATGCCAAGGAGAATGGGAGGAAAAAACTAGCAGGGCACTAACCCAAGGTTGGGATTTGCAGAGGGATGAGGAATGGAAAGGTGTGAGAGAGAGAGTATCATAACCAGAGAGTAATGAAGTCATGGACCATGGAGTCTGGGATGTCTGGGGAAGGGGCTAAAGGCAGCAGAAGCAAACTGATGGGGAAAACATGGGAGGGGGTATCTGGGGGCCATTTTGGGTAAGGTTGAATGAATAGAGAAACACGGAAAGATGGAAGGGCAGCAGAATGCGGTGAGTGGGGTATCTGAATTTAGGCTTTGAGAGACAGAGTAGCTGTGGGTGATAACAAGACCTGGGGAACATCTAAGGGTTGAGGAGGTTAAAGAACTTGAAGCCCAGGTGATATATGTGTCAGATGGGTCAGACTATCTCCCTGGACGAGGCAGGGTGTGAGTGTGGAGGGAGACAGTAATCCAGGAGCCACAGCCTTGAGAAAATGTAGAGAGTGAGCAGGAGGCTGGCAGATGATGGAGCTGAGAAGGGGACCTGAAGTAAAGCCTGCTGGGAAGAGCTTTGAGGAGGCAGCGTCTAACCCAGAAGTGGGGGACAAGTGGCAGGAGCAGGTTCAGAGCTTGGGGAAACATGTGGCCTGCCCTGGAGGGGGGCACAGGAGGGAGGAGAGTCGCCCAGATGCTGGAGACGAGGGGACTACATGTACAGATGATGTGTATTTTTACTGTGGAATAAAGATTAGGAGAGGTTGTGGGGAGTGGGCTGACTGCAACAGGCTCAGGGACTCAGTGTGTGACTGTCGCTTGGGGATGTGCCTGGTGGACTGCGAAATAAATAGGAGGTGATTCCTGGATTTTAAGTTCTCTCTGTTCTATCAATGTTATCTGTGCATCACTTGCTCTTATTATGCGTCACTAATCACCAACTAAGCTTCTTGCAAATAAATCATCCCTAGCAATCTTTCTACTAGACTAGTAATTTGGAATACAGCCTGAAAAGTCTTTAAAACTTCTTAATACTGATGGAAGATGAGGAATAATGTTATTTAATTCAAATAGCATGCAGTATTAAGAGTGGCATTATCATGATCAGCAGCTAACATCTATCATTAATCTTCACAGTTACACAATGTGAGAGATCATTATCATCCTTTGTACAGGTGAAGAAACTGAAGCTTAGAGTGGTTGAACGACTTGCCTGGGGTCACACAGGTAGAAGTGATAGAACTGAGGCCTGATCTAAGTATGTTCCAGGCAGCACAGGCTGCCCTGCTCAATGGTGGCCCTGTGTAGGTGCAGTATGGGAGTGGGGCCCGAGGCCGTGTCTGTGGGAGCCACAGAAAGCCTCACTTCAACAGCACTGACATTTGGGTCTCAAATGCTGTAGGGGTAGACTGCAGACTGCCAAGGTGCATCTGTAGCCTCCAGGGAGAGGAGCCGCACCCATGCGAACTAGCAGAGGCTGCAAACATGTCAGTCCTGGTGCTTGTGACTGCGCACAAGGTTGGTTCAGGGACCATCTCTTGAAGGGAACAAAAAGCAGAAGGCAGATTGGGGTAGAGAAAGGGTTATAAAGAAGAAAGGAAGGACGGAAGGCAGGCAGGCAGAGCAATAAAAGACTCGAGCTAAAGGGAGAAGCAAAAACTTTATGGAAGAGAAGGGAACACAGTGTACATATGAATCCTGGTCTGGATAACCTAGTGTAGAATTTTTAATTGTGGCTAGACTAGTAGCAGAACTTATTTTCATCAATTTTAAAGGAATATACAGGGACCAGCACAAATATCGCCCCTTTTTTTAAATTACAAAATCACGAGCATGTAATTCTGTAACATATAGTATCTACTCAAATACACCATATGACATTTTAAGGTGAAATGTTCAAATTAAAACTATAAATTATTATACTCATATTATTACCCTACCAACCTTACTTCTGCTGGACCCTGTGTATTATTTTAGTAACTACCATTTACTGAGCACTTATGTGTGTTAGTTATAATGCTAGATGCATTCTGTCTAACCCTCACAACCTGAAAAGTTTAGCATTATTATCCTCATTTTACAGATGTAGAAACTTAGGCCAGGGAATTAGTTAACTTGCCATTTTATGATTAGAACTAGGAAATAACTGAGAAGGCCAATCTTCCCCTCCACTCCCGCCCCCAAATTGATATGATAGAGTTAAGAGGCCAGAAAGAAGGGAGCCTGGTCTGCGCTGCCAGCCTCACCCAGTTGGGCGGACTACCAGCAGTCTGCAGAGATCACAGGAAGTACTGTGCTCCAGGCCACCTGCTGTTGTGGCTGATGGGTCAGGTGCCTTGGTCTCCCACTCGGGCTGGTGAAGGTTCCGCTAGTGAGCATCCCTACCAGGGGGAGAAGACAGTGGGGTCACAGCTGCATAGGGACCCAGGGATGTGAGGAGGAGGGCTGGTCCCCACTGAAACAGTAACTCTTTTGTAACACAAGATGGCGCCCAGAGCCCATGTGGAAGGAGAAGTGGAAACTCCAACCGCCATGAATCCTAAGATCTATTTCTGGGGGCCGAGGTCCTTTTCCACTGACCCAGGAGGAGTCAACTACACCAGAGCTCCACTCTCTGCTCATGTCTGCAGCAACAGGAGGCTGCTCAGGAGGCGGCTTTCAGCAGGGCTGGCCCAGGTGTTCAGACCTGCCACTGGATGAGGGAGCTCCCGGTACTCAGCAAGCCCAAGGAGGAAGGGCACTGCCTTTTGATGGAGCGCAGACAACTTTAAAATTGCTTTGGTGAGCACTGATAATTGCTGAAACTCGGTGATGGATATATTCGGTTCATACACCATTCTTTCTATTTTTATATTTGAAATTTCCCATAACAGAAAGTAAAAATACTTTGGGGGGTGATGTGGCACCAGGCCTCTGGAGCTTGCAGAACTGTCTAGGGTTGCCTGAGAGGCTGCGGCCTCTGTCAGAGCCTGGGTCTTTACACTGGAGGGCAGGCAGGAGTGCACCGGAGGACCTCAGCTGGGGTGGAAGGACGCTGCCTGGGCACATGGTCCCAAAGTGGCAGGCACTCAGCCCAAGGCACAGAACATATCTGAGAGCCCACCTTTGAATCTGACAGCTCTGGGTTTGGATTCCTGCTCCTCACTTATGCCAGCTCTTGAAGTCAGTTAAGTTTTGCCCTGGCTGCTGTGGCTCAGTGGATTAAGTACTGGCCTGTGAACCGAAAGGTTACAGGTTCAATTCATGGTCAGGAACACATGCCTGGCTTGCAGACCAGGTCCCCAATTGCAGGCGTGCGAGAGGCAACTGATAGCATTCTCTCTCCCTCTCTCTCTTTCCCTCCCCTCTCTTAAAAATAAATCAATCGGGTAAGTTTCAAAATGCCAGAAACTCATCTTTCCCAGATAATGACATCTTTATGGGATAGAGCTGTGCAGATTAAGTGAAATCTCAGCCTAGTGCCTGGCACCCAGGAACAGGAAGCATTTTTTGTGATACAAGAGCCAGGCCATGAACTCCTAGGTGAGGCATCAGAGACTCTTGCTCCCTTTTGGAGCTCCAGCCCTTTTCTTGGTTGGGTGAGAGTAGGGATGCTTGGCAGGTGAACAGCAGCCTCTCCTGGTGAATTAAGAGGATACGAGCCTGGGCTCAGATGAGCTGGGGGTGAGGCCAGGTACAGCCACACAGGTGGTTGTCAGGCCGACTCTTTAGTTGAGCTCCTCCTCTGCAAGAGCTGATTTAAGGAGGGCAGGCACAGCTTCTCATGGCCAGACCAGCAGCTGGTACCAGATCTCCACATCTATGGGATTTGAGTTCGGCCACCGAGTGAGCTCACAGTACTGCAGGTCATGACCCAGGACTGTCACCTCTGAGAGGAGGACTCACTAATGAGAAGCAGCATGTCGGAGTGCAAACCATGAGATGGAATAGGCATTACTTTTCTACCACCAATGAAATCCTTTAGAATTTCTTCCATGTTGTAGCTTCCAGGGTACAAGGAGGATGCTGATCAACATTCGAGAGGGTGCAGATGCACTGGAGAAAAGTGCCACACCTAGCTCTCTAAGAGGCTGTATCTGTATCCTGTACTGGTCGGTTGAGACATTAAAGTCACAGCAGGAGAGCTGTTCCGACAGGAATTTGCTCTGGCGTTTTCCAGGCTGGGTGACCTTAATGGAGGCACCTGACTTCTCTGAATCCAAGGTGTCCTTATCTACAAAGGCATTTATTAATGATTTCGCCAGTAAGATAATATGGAAGCCTCTGGCACCTGGTACATGTGCAATAAATGTTGAAATATCCCACTCATTTAACAAGACAAAAGACAACAAACACAAGCCACCACTAAGTGCTGTGGAACTCATTTCTTGGTGGCCTTATTCTCCTGAAAAAAGAAAAAGGGTACACTGACTGTCAGGGTGGCTATCAGGAATTGCCAAATTGCTCCTCAATACTAAAATGTCCTTGAGTTAGGGCTGCTAGGTAGAAAAAGACACAGACCTTCCCATCCTTGGCGGATAACTGCCAAAAAATCCTTTGCCCTGCCTGTAGCCCCTTGGTTATGGATCAGTTTTCCTCATCCGCTCTGCATGAAGGCTCTAACAGAAACAGCGCCATTTATAAATGAGAAAGCAGCTGGCTGGGACAGTTACCTTTCTTTTCCATCCGTTTCATGTCCATCAGCTTCTCCACATTGTTGGGGTCATTCAGCCATAACTGCATTCGGACAAAGGGCTCCCGTCCCTTCAGGCTGAGCTTGTGCCAGGGCTTTGGGCGAGCAAGGAGGTCAGAGACGGAGCCTTGGGTGAGCCCTAAGATGGTCTCCCCAAATAAGCGCTGACCTAGAGAGAAAGAAGAACCAAGAGAGATGTCATCATTGAGACCCAGGAATCTGGAAGGATAAGTATGTGTCAAGGTTAAAAATCAGACATGAGGTTTAAAGACCTAGAGTCTGGTCAGCTGGGTCCCGGCTTGGAGCATGTGCTTTGTAGAAGCATTTCTTTAACCAGACTTGTGACAAACTCCATTGCAGACAGAGTCAGTTTTACTCTTGCATTCTGCTTACATACAACGTTTGTCAAAAAGCCTTCAGGCTTTGGATGAGCTGAGGCCTGGGTAATAACACCTGCTGCATTTATCAGAGGTGGTTAATCCCAAACCCAAGCTCCAGAGGTTTAAGTAGCACACAAGGAGATCTCTCTTGTACAATCTCAAACCACAGGGCTGTCTGCGCCACCTCCTTTCACGATTTGCAAGGTTGTGAGGACTTGCTGAGAAAACAGGCCACTTGACCCAAGGTCACAGCAGGAAAGAGAAGGAGAAAGAGCTCCTCAGCTCTGTTTTTCCGAAAAGCAGGCCATTTCCAATTCTAAAGTCTGTTCCCGCAGTCTAAGCTGCCTCTGCTGCCTGGAGCTCAAAGTGCCTTTTCTTGATGCCTTTTCCCTGGGGCCATGGTGGGCAGCCTGCTCCCCAGGCTGATCAGAGGGCATATCACTCTGGAGAGCACAGTGCCATGCTCATCAGAGGCTTAAAAAGAAAATTTCTCTTCTCTGAGAGCCACTCAGCTGCAGGTTAAGAGGAGCCACCACTTTTAAAGGTACAAAAGTGAATCAGGTACAACCTGAATGACCTGATGGGACAACTTAAATGAACAGGCCTTATTAGGCAGAAATGGAGATTGGGATCAGAGAAGCCAGTGTTCGGTACTGTAAAGCACACAGAACACGATACCTAGGCAGAGGTGACCGTGGATGACTGGCTTATTCCCTCTGTGCCTCCTGTCCTCCATCTGTGAGAAGGAAATGCTATCACCTGTGCCCTTGGGGTGGTTTTGAGAAAATGGTGGAGGGCTGCCTTGTGAAAACCAGGGCTCCAAGTAAAGTTGACAGCACGGAAGGCTTTGAATTTGAGAAATTAATTTTTTTGCTATCACTCATTTTAACTTAGAGATACATTTAGTGATTTTGTAAACTCGTGGTTTCTCTGCTTTTCAAATTCTTAGTTGAGGCTACAAACGTCCCAAGCTTTTACCCATATTTTGATGTGGTTGTTAAAATAAATTTTTCCTAATTCTCATCTGGCAAATGGATCTCATTTTATTCAAGAAGCTCGCTCTGTTCAGGAAAGTGGTATATATGAAGAGCTAGTACTATTTGCTTGACCCATCTAGTTGTACAGGGAGAAAAATCAAGTGATTATTGTTTCTTTTTCCTCCCTCCCTTCTTTCCTTCTGAGGGGAAGGGAGGGAGAAAGAGAGGGAGGGAAACATCAATTTGAGAGAGAAACATTGATCAGTTGCCTCTTGTACAAGCGCTGACCAGGGACTAAACCCACAACCCAGGCATGTGCCCTCACTGGGAATTGAACTGGTGACCTTTTGTTTTGTGGGACAATGCCCAACCAACTGAGCCACACTGGTCAGGGCTCAAGTGGAAAGTTATTTGTATTAGTTCTAGAGGTTTCAGAGCAGTGACTCAATCGTTTTTGGGTCACAGACCTATTTGAGAACTGAAAGAAAGCTACAGACCCTTGCCTGAAGAAATGTGCACATACACATTCTGCACATGATTTCAACAGATTGATGAATGAATACCCCAAGATCCCACGCCAAAGGTTAAGAGACAGTCTTACTTGACTCTCAGTTAAGGGTCATCTTTGCTACCTAATTCAGCTGTAATCTGGCTCCCTCTACGTTCATTACCCACTAAGAGACTCCAAGAGGGGAGGCAATTCCTTTCCTGGAGAAGCTAAGACTAGTGAGAGCAACCGTAAGGTTGCTTCTGATCTCTAGGTCAAGGGTGACAATGCTATGGAGCCTTCTGGAAATTACTGCTCAGAGGCTTAAGTTATCAGTCTGGCCTGAGAAGTTTCAGCCCTCTGAGCACTGATTTGGGCTTCACAAAATTTGATAACAAAGTTCCACAAACCAGTGGGGTTCTGGTGTGGCTGCAGATGAACACCATCAGCTACAGCTTCCTCACTGATGGGGAAATGGATGGGAAGGCCAAGGAGGAGCCTTTAAGGTTCATAATCTCATAGCTGTGATCTTGCAACTTATCAGCATTTGAAAATCAGAATTTTCTTCAGCTGATTTTCAACACTTGGGGGCCACCTGTATGTGCTGATGTTCACTGAGTGGCCTGGCCTCACGAGCTGTCATCTCTCTGGGGCCCTAGTGTCCACGTGACAATGCCTGGCCTGTCCCCTCCCACATGGCACTGTGGGGTCTTGCCATGAGCCATTCTCAGTGGGGGTGGGGGAAGAGAATGACCAAGACACGGAGCCACAGGCAGATATTACCTGGTGGGTAAGACCATGGTGCTATGTCACGTTGTATTTTCCTCCTGGACACGATCTTTCTCTATATTTGAAAATTAGGGAATGGCCAAAAGCCTTTATTCCAGACATCCCAAAACTAGAATAGATGTGAGGATTTACAAGTGATCCTAATAGAGAGGTCAGAAGGGACCACCCACCAACAGAGCAGGGGGTGGCATTCCCCAGTGGTCACCCAAAACAAGACAAAGACCCTCTTAAGAAAGGAGCATGTGGAGGTCTGTCTACCCACACTGGCCTCATCTCTTCTGGTGGTATAATGCAATATTATATTTCCCATAAGGGAGTGAGGAGCAATACTATATCAGGCCTACTGCCTTGGACTTGTGATAAGACTGTAAGGTAGGGGATAAGACAAGTCTAGGAATCCTTGCACATTTTGGTAGCTGATGGACTTATGGGACTTGGCCATTTTTAAGTCAACAGCTAAATTTTTATTATTATGAATTAGCTAAAATTGTTCTCAGTGGATATTACTTTTCTCTCATCCTGTTTTGCACAAGCAGTTGGGTGGAAGGCCTCAAGCAGTTGAGGCTATGAGATCAGTAGGCAAAATTTCCTAGAACTCACTTTATTGCTACCCTTTTCTTTTCCCGCCCCCTGGGAAAAACAGACACACAAGGCTCCTCCTGAAGGTACCAGGCACAATCCAGTAACTCCTGGGGGTCATCTTAACCTGTATTGCAGAGAACAATGCTCTTTTAATGGACTTTTACACCAGGGCAACAAGAAAGTCCTAAGTGCCTGGGGAGTGGCTATTTCCATTCTCTGGATGCCCAAACCAGGGGAACCCCACCTGGTCAATACTATCCTGCAGGAGCACAGTACTTTGAAATGACTAAACACCCTAATAATCTTACAGCTGCAGCCACTGATCAGTGGTGCCACAGAGCCCCCTCAGGCAGAGCCCCATGGCCTGGGTGTGAAACCCAGGGGGAGGCCTGTGAAGTGGAGGCGGCTTCATGAGGCAGCAGGGATGACAATAACAGCCCGTTAGCTGCCAGGCAGAGTGCTGGAAATTGCTGCTACTCACAACCCCATGGTAGGCACTGTTACTTGTTTTTCTGAGAGGGCTCAGAGGGTAGCTTGCTCAGGATCACAGTCACTAAATAGGAGAGCTCAAATTTGAACCCAGTCTGTAAGACTCCTCCAATATGCCATCCGGATGCTGCTGGGCTGATGTTGATCCTGCCCAGCCCTGGAGCCCACAGGATTTAGAGCCCTACTGGGCATGCTCCAGTCAGGGTGGAACTCTAGCACCCTGAGTGTTCCCAACGTTGGAACAGTCTGTGAACGTTTAAAACCTTTGCTGGCTCAGCCTTTCCCCCCTCGCCCCCCGCCCTGTTCTTCCTAAGAATTCCAACAGGAAACGACCTGCCACCTCTGGACTTTGCAGTTCGGGAGGGAACTTACCAAGGTTGTTGTCAGTCAGCACCTCCTTGACCCTCTTGGTTATACCGTAGGTGTCCAGCTCTGGAGACATGGCTACCAGCTCTTGAATGCTGAGGGCTGAGTGTCCGGAGAGAGGCAGCGGGGTGGTGGGCTGGGAGTCTGAAGCAGGCGGATCGCTGGGTTCTGGTGGTTTGCCATCCTTACTTGTTTCAATGGGGGGACAGGGCTGCTGGACCAGTTCAGTCAAACTCTTCACTGATTCACTAGAGCTCATTGGTGATTCGGGGGCAGGGCTGCAGCTGGCAGAGGTCTTTGGCGTGCTTTCTGTAATTAAGGCACACAGAATACTGAGGCTGAAAATAGCTATATGTTACCATGTACATCTACTTCCTTACCTAGAATAGTAAGTAAATGTCCTATAAGAAGAATATAGTATGGCAAGTCTATGGATTTATGTGAATTGTTTTATAGTTTTTGACACAGGTATTAAAAAATAGCAATAGAAGAAAAACTACATGTTTAAAGAAAAGGTTTCTGAAGACTCAATACAGGGGCATTCTGTTAAAAAAAGTCATATTAATCATGTGCTATCACTGTCATGATTTCTCCTAATGCTCCCTCATAATTCTGTAATTCAGAAGTACCTTGCCTATATTATGATTTACATACTAATTTTATTCATAATTTCCTGAACAAAACAAATGGACATACTATTTTAAATGAGGGCTGCCCATGATGTGTGGGCACCACAGAGATGACCCTTGACAAGGAGACCTAAAGCTCCAAGATGGCACTTGGCAGCTCAGAGCTGAGTCTCAGGACCCCAGGCTGGTTCCCACGGTGATCCCAGAAGGCTCTCACAGCACCCAAACTGGAGGGAACTCACAGAAGAGGAGCACCCACCCTGCTCTCTGTCAAACCACAGGAGGTGCTTCTGAAAACCAAGCTCTGTCTGTGCCACGCTGTCACCAACACCAGAAGAGATAGGGCCAGTGTGGGTAGACAGACCTCCACATGCTCCTTTCTTAAGAGGGTCTTTGTCTTGTTTTGGGTGACCACTGGGGAATGCCACCCCCTGCTCTGTTGGTGGGTGGTCCCTTCTGACCTCTCTATTAGGATCACTTGTAAATCCTCACATCTATTCTAGTTTTGGGATGTCTGGAATAAAGGCTTTTGGCCATTCCCTAATTTCCAAATATAGAGAAAGATCGTGTCCAGGAGGAAAATACAACATGACATAGCACCATGGTCTTACCCACCAGGTAATATCTGCCTGTGGCTCCGTGTCTTGGTCATTCTCTTCCCCCACCCCCACTGAGAATGGCTCATGGCAAGACCCCACAGTGCCATGTGGGAGGGGACAGGCCAGGCATTGTCACGTGGACACTAGGGCCCCAGAGAGATGACAGCTCATGAGGCCAGGCCACTCAGTGAACATCAGCACATACAGGTGGGCCCCCAAAATACTCACTAACTCACTAAACAAAATGTAACACCAAATAATAAATGAATTACAATTGGCCATGTAACTAAAATGTCCTTTGCAGGATATTATTATATACAGGATAACAACATATTTTGAACCCAAGAGAATGAAAAATGTATTCCAAATATAAGAAATATTTTGTATACTATTAGAAAGATAAAATCCCAAATAAAACAACTGCAATCCAACCGATAAACCCATTTACTGTCCTAGAGTGCTACAGAGTTCCACCAGCACATAAACCTGTGTCCTCAACCTAGAAAATCAGGTTAAAAAACAACAACACTGGTTTGTGAAAGATGTAAAAGAGACAGACGTAACAGCAGAAATGGTCCATATAAATCTTTAAGGCAATATGAATCCTACAAATCGGATTTCTTCTCTCTCTCACCTCCAGGTCATCAGACAACTGGATATAAAACCCAGCAAATGTTATTTTTGTATCTGAAGCAGCAAAGGAATTGTACTGTAAATTTGCCCTGATTCACCCATGCGAGGGACCAATTTGGCAGATCATCCATCTTGCTCACTGTATACTGTCAAGGATGGCATGAATTCCCCACATGATAAACAGATTTCTTCTCAGGTTTGTGTCCTTTAACCCACAGCAAGGTCAAAACCATGGCTGCCTGGCTAACAAACAGCACCGTGCCGCTGCCCTAATGCTCTCCCTGCTTTGTTCTGGGTGCTGGCTGAGGCAGAGCTCCCCGAATAACACAGGCAGTGGTGCCTTCCCTTCTTCCAGGCATTCTCAGCAAGCTGCTCACATGCACTATTGCCATAAAGAACCCTTGAAAGAACAGAGGCGCTCACCACATGTGACCGATGTCCCTCTGTGCTCCAGATTGTGGCTATGGACAAAGGCAAACCCTCAGGATCAAAACCCAGTGTTGGCCTTAAAATGTGTTGGGCCAGCTTGTATCTGCACCTCCATTCTCTGAGTCTGTGTTTAAAATGTAACAGACAACTTGAAGCCGAGTGTGCTTTTTCGGGGACTCTTCCCCACTAACAGACACTTGTGTACATAAATACCACCATGGTCTCAGGTCACAGAAAGCAGAATCTGGGCCATATATATATATTTTTTCCAATTCTCCCTTGAGGACATGCTCATTGATTTTAGAGAGAGGTGAAGGGAAGGAGAGAGAGGGAGAGAAATAACGATTGGTTGCTTCTTGTAGGCACCCTGATTGGGGATTGAACCTGCAACCTAGACATGTTCCCTGACCAGGAATCAAACCTGCGACCTTTTTGGTTTATGGGACAATGTTCCAACCAACTGAGCAACACTGATTAGGGCTAGGACACGTTTTCTGGATAGGCACAGACAGATTAAAGAGCAAACGGGATTCATTGGAGGTACCAGGAATTCACATGCCCAGAACATCATGTTGGAAAGAGAGTCATTCTTCAGAAAGCTATTTCCAGAGAGCACCACAGCCCCAGTGGCAGGACTGGCACCACAAAGCCAAATCCACGAACAAGCTCCCACAGCCCCTGGCAAGGTGGCTGGGCCCCTTGGTGGGGAGGACAGGTGCTTGCCTGTCTGACTCATAATCATCACAGAACAAGAAACATTAGTCAATAGAAAAGAAGAAATACTACTTTTTTCTCTTCCAAAAATTAGCTAATGAAACCCTCTGATTAAAACAATACTTTTTTGAAAGAACAAAGCTTTGCTCTACTCCATGTGCTTAAAAATAATTAAGGAAAAAAAAAAAGCTTAGTTCTGGGCTTGGTATTAAGGTGCTGAACTTGGGGATGAAAGCTACCTCTACGAACCAGCTATGTTAACTTGAATATGATTCTTGACTTCTTGGAACATCCTGGTTTCCTTGCCTGAAAAATGCGGTCAGTGCTGTGGTGAGGCACATACCTGCCACACAGTTGTTGCTAAGAAACACAATCTAAATTTGATGTTAAGAAAAAGAACAGTTATTAAATTGTATTAAATGTATTTGTTTATATAAAGGTCCCTTATATTCAACATAAATCTCCTCATGATTTATTGCTATTTGTTCCACAGAGCCTGGCACAAGACTGAGATGCTGGTGATAATCTCAAAGGCTGCATCTTGTATGATACCATTTGGATGACATTCTGGAAAAGGTAAAACAGTAAGGACAGAAAACAGATCAGTGGTTGCTAGGGGTGGGCTAGGAGTTGACTACAGGTAGCATGAGGGAATTCTGGAGGGAGGATGGAATTATTCTACATCTTGATTGACAAAATTCATGTAAATTAAATTTCAGTATAAACTTAGGGAAAAAGTGCTGGTGGAAAGAGTAAAGGAAGATGTGTCATTCCGTTCATTCCCTCACTCATTCCCTCAGACTGCTGAGACAGGCCTTTGGGAACATGGCAGTGGAAGGGCGGGGTGGCCTTGTGCTGTTGGAGCTTACACCCACGGGGAAGGAAGGTGGTCATTACATAGGAGTACTTAAAGGGCATCATGTCCTGATGGGAGACAGTGAGGGAGAGCACAGAGCAGGGGGGTGGGAGACACTGATGTGGCCTGGGGATCAGAGAGACCTCCTTGTTGATGACATTTCAGGTAGACATCAGGCATGAACAGGAAATCAGCCAGGTAAGTCAGGAAGAGTAGGCGTAGCAAAGAGAGATAGATTGTTCCAGACATCTTGTGGGCCTGAAGAATGAAATCTAGTGCACCAAGAACACGAGGCAAAAAGCAACCCCGAGGGGCTGGGCTGTGCAGGGCCTTTGAATTGGCCTTCTGCACTGGGGAGCCAGGGAAAGGCCCTTCACCCTTGCAACGCTTCTCTTCTGGTGACACAAAGCGGGCGCTAGGTTGTGTATGGAGGCCTTCTCTGAAACAGCAAAAAACTGGAAAGAGCATCCATCACTGAGACCAGGTCTCTAGATTGTGGCATGTTGACCCCAATATACTATGGGCTATAAACAGTAGCGAGAATGTCAGGACCAGAGCCACAGGTATCAGCACTTGGAGCTCAATGGTTAGCCCACAGAACAAGGTATGGAACAAAACAGTATACCTTTTGTATGTAGGTTGGAAGTTTGCCTATACTATATGTTGTGGTGTCTACCTGGATACATAGTAAGGGTGTAAAGTCAAGCACAGGACTGATAAAGAGCAAATTCAGGATGTTGACTTCAAGGAGGGTTGAACTTTGGGAGGGGGCTTCAGCTTTATCTTTAATTTTTATTTCTTTTAGAAATATAGGATTGAATTATGACTGGTACATGGGCATTCATTACATTATTCTGGAATTTTATGTTTCAAATACTATAGACCTAACATCAAAAAGTAGAATCCTAATACTGCCATTTCCGTAGACAGAATGGACTTGCCTACAGCAAGGCTGGGGCCAGGAGGGCTTGAGGAGGCTGTTGTGTTGTCTTGGGACAGTCGATGGCAGCCTGGAAAAGGGCAGGGAGTTGGGTGAGGAGAAGTATGTAGGTTCAAAAGAGGTTAGGAGGTAGCTTCAATAAGACTTGGGGGCTGAGTGAATGGGGGGAGAGGGCCATGGAAGGGGGAGACAATGCTTGCTTCCTGCACTGGGGCTTGGGCAACTGGGTGCACAGGGTGCCATTCTGGGAGAAGCTGCCCTGCTGCAGGGATGTCTTGGGGTAAGAAGGAAGACAATAGTAAGAAACCCCATTTTATCATCATTTGTAATTGCAGCTCCTACTTAAGCTAACATTTCTTATGTGTTCACTGTGTGCCAGGCATTGTATTAAGGCTCACAGGAATAAACTAATTCAATCCTCACAATGACCTCACTTGTGTGAGGTAGACATGTCCATTTTTTTTTTTAAATTCTCACCTGAGGACAATCTTACTGATTTTAGAGGGCGG